GAGACGTAAGCACTTGGAGGTGTGCAACGTAGAGCCTTGTCTTTGAATTTCGTGTGGTAATAGCAAAATCGGTCGGGATTTCGAGATGGAGAGGTCGGTTTATATGAAACCGATCGGGACTTGCGTGACGTATTAGTCCGCGTCGCTGTGGTGACTACCTTGTTTACCGTGGCCACCAGTTGATCAATTTTTGCCTGTATTCGATTGAGGCGTGCCATAACAGGATTGTCGTTACGTTGAATGGGTTGTTGTGAGGTTGAGGCTATCAAACGGTCGGCGAAGCATTCGTGGATCTTATCTGCCGTCTCAGCGAGTGAGGACAGAGGGACGTCTGACTGGATAGCCAGAATTGGCGAGTGCTTAAGGGGAGACACTGCTTTAAGATTGCGTCCTCAAAAGACTTTCCGCATGCAAGGCTATGCATGTGCCGTAGCAGTTGTGAAGGTGCGCGATCACCCAGTTCGACCCCTGCAAGCAATTTCTGCAGATTCGCTCCGTCCGAGATGGCTGTCCGTTTAATAATTGCTGCTTTTAGTGTGGTGTAAAGATTTGATGCCGGCATAGGATCAATCAGGTCAATAAACTCCGCGGCAAACTCAGTCGGGAGTTGAGAAATCACGTAAGAAAACATGGTCTGCTGTGAGGTAATTCGGCGGAAATGGAAGTAAAATTCTGGTTGAATAAACCATACTCTAGGGTTACTGACTTCAAAAGCTGGCAGTTTTACGTGAACGGCGTTTTCAACCAACTCAGTGTTGAGTCCGTCTTCGTTAGATATGTTTGAAGAAAATTACTGGACTAAGCGTATGCGTGAGAGATATGGGAGTTCTGAGCAAGCAAGAAAAATAGAAAACAGCAGAAAATGCTCGGCCTCACCAATTATGTATTGGTTAACGGCCCTATGGAATCTCTAGTGAACTGAACAAATTACTGATGTAAGCCCGATACAATGTCACAAAGAGAAAAATACAAGTAAATCTTGACTCACAGTTCAAAATAGGAGATTCCGTAGTTGCGTATTCCGTTGAACCACCACACCAAGAATAGTTCTATCTTCCTGGTATCCCAGATCTCCGGTGGTCGAAATATTATTCCACAAGTGTGAATATATTATTACGGTGTTTGTAGCTGAAATGTTTGTTCACGTTTAGTGTTAGCTGCAGTCAAATATAACCAACCAGCGGTCACAACAACAGTCACTCAGCAAAAGTCTCAAAGTCACGTTGGAGCCAACGAGCGGGCGGTAGCGGTTGTATTTCAGTAGAACAAACTTTTGTACAGCGATGTGATTGATAATGATGGGGAAAAATAAGATGATACTGAGCATGAAAAATAGCAGTTTACAAATGGTACAGCCTCATCAGTCAAAGCCTTCTCTGGAGAATCCATCGCAGTTAATAATCTGGGCGCACTTTTGGCGGCGTGCAGGAGCTGATTTCAGCTGGTTTCAGGCAAGATTTCACCCTCGCCGGCATGATGATACCTTGACAGTGACACCTTACCACCCGGAACACAACAGATTCCTTTTCGACGGGCTCCCTGTCCGCAGAAGCCCAACTTCGGTGTTGCTTAACGAATGTGGCGCTCTGCTGAATTACAGAGCACTGCCACCAGAAGTGTGGCAGGGTGTTGCGGACAAACTGAAAAAGATGCATGGTGCTGAGTCTATCAACCGTTACTGATCGAAAGGGTTACCTCTTGATTAAATGGGTCTTGCGCTTTGCTCATTGAGAAGATGACACCACTTTTGTACTCGCCACCAGTCGTCATAGGTTTCACTCCCAGTGAATTTAGAGCATGACGCAATCGCGCACTTGGTTGTACTCAGGAGAATGTCTCCTGGTTTTATCACTGGTGATCACGCCAGCCAACCAAACACGAAGAACCCCGACGCCATTGAACGCATGCAGGCTCTTGAAGAAGGCCCTTAAGGTTCTTTCTCAGTCGTGATGGCAATCACAACTTTTTCCTGACTATTGTTAACGGCCTCCGAGGCTCATTAATCAGCTGCTCACCAAGAACAACAGGCGGATGTGGCCAGCAGAATTGCAACATGGCAGTCGACTCTGTCGACATTACGATGAACTGCAGTGTGTTTGTCGCTTATTTTGATGGGCCACATGAATTGGTTGTAGCATCCGTTTCTTTTATCGAGGGCATTATCGCAGGAACCATTCTTGCATTCCCCGATAGCAACCAGAGATCCGTTGTATTTGTGATGTGATCCCTGGTACAGGCCAAGCACAGTCACGGTGAAGGATGTTTTAACGATCACGTCTACCACCGAAATGTTCCATGATATGCTTTGCAGACGTTCGTTTTCCTTGCTTACGGATCACAAGGCGCCCCGCACTGTTCGTGGCCCGCGGGATAGATTTTGCTGAGCACCTCTGGCTGCCTTCGGTGATGCGCCACGCTGATTCTGGAGTGTGGCGCAAGTATCATGTCCTAGCCCACCACCAGCTTTGAATGAGCGGACATACTATCGATTGTCGTGGATTCAAACAGGCCGGGGCCGGAGTAAACTCGAGCCATTCAATCTTCATGCAACCGGAGGTGCCGTAACTTCGAGAGTAGTTCCCACGCTCCATGCCAATATGGTCTGTCAGGCTAGCGAGTATGATCCACATTCGAAACACCAGGCGAGACGGAAGCACTTTTCGTCGTTCGGAGAAGGGTGCCAGTCCAACGACCACTGCTTCGCAGCGTCTACATCCATTTGCAGGGTACTGGCTTCGTAATCTCAGGATTTCAAGTCGTCCGTAAAAGGCAGACATGGACTCGCGAAAACATCTGATATGGGTTTCTCGTCCTCTGCTTGAGCTAAGCTGTCCATAAACACGAGCATGTTTGTCACGCTAGAACGGTGTGGGAGAAATCCGTGCTGAGCTGGATGTATCAGGTTGCTGGAAGTAGGGTGCTCTAGGATAGCTCGATCCAGAATCCTTTCCATCATGATAAGAGAACTTTCGTGCGTTATTGTTAGGACACTCGCGGAAAACGGTGAAATTAGCCGCGTGCTCTCGGATGAGCGTAGTGGTTTCCTACAATTGGCCCGTGCTTGGTTCGGAACCCCATGTTCCTACACATCACTTAGCGTGGAAGATAAATTCTTGGTGAGTCCTATCTT